CACAGTGTGGATTTATGGGTTTCTACATACAAAAGAAGCATGGATTGGAAATAGGTCATATTATGGATGCTTTCCAGATGATCTGCAGAACGATCTCCCTGTTTTAAGAGAGGGGCCACTTAAAAATCAAGTACTCATACAGCACTAGCTGTAATATATTTCTAGCTTTTCATCAGAGATCTTTAGAATTGCATTTCCAACATGCAAGGAATTAATTTTCTTATCCCCTTATAACTAACTTGGATAGCAGTGCTTGTGATGTCTCCCCTCTAACACAAAGTACGGTATATCACATGTATGGTTAGAGGAGGAATAGATGTAGACACAACACAGTGAATAAGTTTAATACAGGAAGCCTTGTACCCCTGGTTGTCTTCACTTTTCCAGGCAAGTTCCATCCTATGGTGCCAAAGCTTCCCTTATGCCCATCTAGATCTTAGAGAACATTAAAGGATCTACTATCACTTGTGGTACAAATTATCCTCCTAATCCCAGCTCACCCATTATGCCTCTTGGAAGCACTGCTTGCTTTTGACAGCCACCATGCTCAAATCCAATGCCTCCCTCTGGTGGCCAATGATAGAGAAATGCCGGGGCGAAGACAGACCGGTGCTCAGCATTTTGGTTAAATTTGTGAGGAAGAAGCAAATGATTCCCGATTTGCTGGTTTATACTGGTGGACCAGTATAATTCCTATGACAGCTTGTTTAGCTATAAAACTAGAGAAAGCTATATGGGTAGAGAAGCTAGAGTTTATGGTACTAAAAGACACAATGAAAAGATTCAACATTTGAGCATTCCCAGAGGTTTGGAACTATCTAAGAGCCTACCAGCCTGACTGATAAGAACAAAAAGTGGAGAAGATCTCAGACCTGGTAAATAGCTAGGGGAAAAAAGTTCAGGTGATCAACATATGCAAGTACATTCTAACTGGAATTGAATGATAATTTCAAATAGATACAATCAAGATCCCTGCATGAATGTATTGGAGGTGAGGAATAGGTTGATAAACATTTTACACTACGTATACCTGGGAAACCGTAGTAGGTGCAGTTAAGACATTTATAGCTGTCCATTGGGAGGGATCAAAAGCCTATGGTTTATGAAAGCAAAAAGGACTTGGAAGTGTGCGATCCCCACGTAAATGTAATTTGAGATGATAGAGCGGGGTCGTGATATTACTAACAACTGGCCTGAATAGATTTGTTTTCTTAACAGTATATACTTCTCAATGAAGATATGCTAATAGCCTTTAGGATAGGTACTGTGGATTATGATATGACCCAGAGAGAGCCAGAAGCCAGTGTCTGACATATGGGGAAGTGGATCAAAAAAGCAAGACAAAGCAGTGTGGCAGAAGAATGCTTCACTGAGAGATAGTTTAAACTCTTTTGTGTTATATTCATTGGATACTGGAGTACCCAGAGAGAAGAGATCGGGTCTCATCAAGGCACAAGTGGTAGTTGAATATAACATTTTGAAAGGATAGAAGATTCTAGTCTGTTTCCTGATATTGGACACTGGTGGCAATTGTGTTGACCGGAGCGAAGAAAAACATAGGGAAATTGCAATGGAGAAAAGCTACACAGCACAATCTCTGGCTGTGAAGAATTTCATAGTCATTTGTCATGGGGTGGGACATGGACAGTGTGGTGTGCTTGTGATGGCAGGCCCAGGCCATCAAGCAAGTCAGATGTGGTGTGTGAGGAGAGGTGAGGCCAGAGAGTACATAAATTGATAGGCTGTGCAAGAGGTGAATTCTGTTGTGGATAAGGACAAGGCAATAGGCTTGTGCGGTGCTCTCACTGTGCTGTAGGTTTGTTTTTGGAATGCAATACCCATGTTGTCTGGGTATTCTGGGAGTTTATTTTCTGTCTGTCTGTCTGTCTATATATGTATGTAATTTATATGCTGCCTTTCTTCCCATAGAGGACCCAGGGAGGCTCACAACAATTGAAGCAGTACAATAATGCTGCTGCTACTACTACTACTAATAATAACAATAAAGCACAAATCTGCATATTTTTCATTGTGATCTTTATGGATTCCTCCTAGTTTCTTCTACTGGGAGACCACATTCAAGATATTTTTGTTTCATTTACATTTCACCTTTCTCTCAACACAGGACACAAGGCAGCATACAAAACAGCAGTGGTGCGGGTGGAAGAGAGACACATAAATCAAAATATTAAAATACAAGCATATGGTAATATTAAAAGATCATTAAGTTCTACATGATTTTTAAAAATGAGGCATGCATCAAACATTTTTCATAAGTGCAGCATCCTTTAAAAAAAAATCTGTAGCCCTCTCCATTGCCAAAAGGCTGTCTGAAGAGAGATTTTTGCCTTTTTATGAAAACAGGCAGTGAGTGAGTCTGACCAGCCTCCTCTGGAAAGGAGTTCTAGCCACTGAAAAGGCCACTTTGAATCCTCTCCAAGTGTGCCTCTGCAGGCAATGGGATCAAGTGAAGGACCTCCTCTGATAATTTTGGAACCTGCCATATGGTACTGTAAATCCTTTAGACAGCCTCAGCCTAAGGTGAACAGGACTTAATAGCCCATCACCATCCCTTTGAATTGGCTGTGGAAATGGACTGGTAGGCAGGGCAGTTATTTAACAGACTTCAAGTCAGTGGTCTGACTGCAACTTTTTGGAGCAGCTGAAATTTCCAAGTACTTTTCAAAAACAGCCTCACAAACATTGCATTACAGTAAGCCAAAGCAGGATGTAAGTAAGACATGTATCATCAGATTGAATATCTCAAGGAACAAGCAAAGCTGGCAAATTGGTTTTAACTCTGAAGATGTCTTCCTGGCCACCATGGAAGTGGAGGCATCCAAGAATATGAAAGCTGTGTTCTTAAGCTTTCAGAGGAAGTGTAACTCCACTGAGCAAACATGAATCCCTCTTCTGTGATTTCCCTTTTGACTTACAAATAACAACTCTGTCTTGTAAAGATGAAGCTTTAACTTGTTCAACCTCAACCAGCCCACTACTGAGATCTGATATGTGTTTAAAGCAAAAGCATCTTCCTGGGAGTTAGATAAAAAGGAAACACAACTAGATGTCATGAGCATATTGTTGGCAGTAAGCCTCCAAATTCCAGACAACCTGTCACAGTGATGATTTTGTATATATGTTAAATAGCATGGGGGGCAGGACTGAATCCTGAGGTATCTCACAGGCCAACAATCAGGCCATCAAACAAGAATTCACCCATGTTACTTTCTTAGATCATTCCTCCAGGAAGAACCAGAGCCTGTAAAAACTGGCTCCAAATCCCATTTCAGAGAAGCAACCCCAGAAAGTACCACAATCAATGGTATCAAAAGCTGCTGAGAGGTCCTGCAGAGGCAACACAGATGTTTCCTCCATCCAGTTCTCAGTGAAGATCTTCCAACAAGGTGACCAAAGTGATCTTTGTGCTATATTCAGGTCTGAAACCAAAATGAAATCAAGTCCTTTTCATGATTTTTTGATGTAACTGTTGTCAGTGGAACACCACACCAACACAAGACACTGATATTTACTAGGCAGCGTCTTGTATTGTTTTGCTATTCTCAGCTTTTCTACTGGGAAGGCAGAGTCCTATGTTACACTGATATTATGGTGGCATAAACATCACTATTGGGGCAGCAGTGGATTATGTGCAAATGGATAAGCTGGCACTTACTGCTTAGCACAAGTTTGGTGATCAAACAAATCATTACTCCTTTGAAAGGGGTTTGGACATGAATTAATGTGTCAGGAAGCAGGATATGTTGCTATGTCCAGTCATTTGTCTCTCTGGTTCAGTTTTGTCCTTTCTAGTTGGCAGTTCTCCCAGGCAGGTGTTTATTCAACCACCTACTAACTCATCCTTTTAACTGAGGCAAATTTATTAGGCTTCTATTACCAAAAAAAAAAAAGAAAGAAAGAAAAAAAGAAAAAAAAGAAAAAAAAGACTAGTCAAGATCTCTTAGATGGATGTCTTAGTTTTCTGCTTGGAGACACATTAAATTTTTGGCATGTTTACTTGCTAGCATTCTTACTATGATTTTTTAAAAAAGTATAAGGACTAAGAAACAAGGAAAGAAGTATCTCCTATATTCTTAAATTTTCTGTTAATTAGGCCCTTCTCTTGCAGACCATCTAAATCTTATCTGGGCTTCTTATTAAATGCCTGGCATTTCTCTCATTTCTTTGAAAGGCAACACATTTCACTCAGTGGGAAGTGTAAAAACACATTTAAAAACTGCTTATAGTACTTATGAATTTGATACAGGCAGTCTAAAAGCACTTGGGGGCTGAAGAAGTGAGGAACAGAACTAGTAATTTTACTCTCTGAAGAAGGCTACTGTTGCCAGTGTGCACTACTTATATATTTAGAAGTAAACAACTACACTAATATTACAAAGACAATATAAACTTCCAGTGCTGTTTCTTCTGCAGGAAATTAAAACTTTTGGCGCCACTCCTAAGACTCCTGTCCTGGACATGGGAGTTGTTCTGTAAGTACTGGAACCTTAAGCAAAGGTGTCACCTTTCCATCTAGGACAGAGACATTTCTAGACTGCTGATGAGAAGATGTCTAACAGAACAGTAAATCATCACACTGATGGCAGATTCAATAGGTGCAATGAAACAAAAAAGTGGTCAAAAAGCACAATTCACTTAATATCTTAAATGCATCAACATCCATTCTTGATTTCAGGGCAAGGCGGTTATAGCACCTATGTTATTCACTCATCCAGAACACCATTGCCCTTCTTTATGCACTTTATCCAGAAGAACAGATTTAAACCCCAGGGTCCATTGTTTACAAAGTAAATTTTACACTAAGTACTTAAACACAGGAACATGGAAGCACTGCATATAGAGAAAAGCAGTTTCTTGCTGCTGAGATTCAAAACAGTACAGAAAAGTGCATGGAGGAGTTAAGGACTATACAGAAATGGGAGAATTGCCATTTTAGACAAACTGAAAAGTGTATATTTTAAGAAGCCACAGCCACCTCATAGGTAATTTAATTTTATTGCATTTTATAATGCCATTGTCCATACAGATTACATGCAGCTAGATCTACTGTACAAGGGTTTACCGTCTGCCAGAGCAGACACACAGAAGTCCAGAGTACAAATACACAGCAATGCTATTTCCTTTATACAGGGTGGAAATATGGCAGTGTGAAGCCGTAAGAGGAGAATGGATCAAAGGTTTACAGACATCCTTCTCCCTCCCCAGTAACCTTTCCCTTCACACTGACTTGCCACCTGCTAAAAGGATAATCACATCAAACCAACAAATGTGAGGAAGAAAAAACCCACAATATTAAAGGTCACTGCATGTCTTGCCCCTTTTTCTTGCCCCTTCCTGTGTACCAGGCAAAGGAAAAGACAACGGGTGAGTGCTGACATGACACAGTCTCCCCCACCCCCCATGTTGGGTACTAGGATGAGAAGAGATCCATTTGCAACAAAGAAGATTTAATTAGAAGAAACCCCTGAGGGCCAACATAAAATATTACAAATGAACAAATCAGATCATTCCAGGAGACATGTCAACTTCCCATTTTCATTCAGTGAGATCAATGACCCCCCTGTCTTGTGCTGAACTGGTAAACTGATATGATTTGAAAGTCACTAGTCATTGGTTCTTGGGTGTTCTTCCTGCCACCTGAGATTCAGTGAGAGATTTGGAAGACAAGAATGCCAAGTGGTGTAAAGCTCAGAGAAGCAGAGCCTCAACTCTTTGGGAAGATCATCATGAAAGCTGTTCCACAGAGAATATGGTTAAAGTGAAGGGCAGAGTAATGGGTCTCCAGTATTTCAGTCCTATAGTAGTACAGCCCTACTACAATGAGCAAGAGGAGAACTCCATATTGAGAAATCCTTCTGCACTTTGGAATGATCTAAAGATGAAAAACAACACTACCTGCCAACTATGCAGAGTACCTATGTTTATGAGGAGCTGAACACCTGGAAATTAGGGTATGGATAAAACAAGACAAGATTCTGTGGATTTTTTTCTGAGTGGGATTTTTTTTCTTCTTCTTGTAAAGTATCTGTATTAAAAATTAGATAAGCAACACCCAAAACTGAAACACACACCTTTGGTTTAAAACAATGTGATTTGCTTCGGTTCATACTTCTCTAGCTCCAAGAAAGCGAGGACAGAATGGAAATGATTATACCAGTGTCCCAACTGGCATTGGTCTATTTCCTCCCACGTTCACCTTTTCTAGTAACTAATTTATTGGGAGGGGGGCAAGAACAACAAGAAAAACTGGAACAGCCTCCAAGTCAAGTTGAAGAGACATATAAGAATGGCTTCCTAATTTCCAGATTAAGGGAAAATAAAAACCCTCTTCCTAAAATATTCCCTGCATTATTTTCATCACAGGATAGTTAAACAGGTAACAATAAACTAATTTTAGTAAGGTTTTAAACCAGCATATATATCAATATATACATACACTATCCTGCCACAAGTAATGTTTGGTCTTTCCCACAATACCCTTTTAAAAAGCTATTTTGAGGTAACAATAAAATAATGAAATATTTTAAAAGAACCATACGTAGTTTGAGTAAAATAGGAGATTTGTGAAAAGTTATCTGTGCAAACACTGATGTACCTAATGTAGTACAAACTCAGGGAAGGCTAGCACTGCCAAAATACTTGAAAGCAAACAAAAGAAAGAAAGAAAGAAAGAAAAAGAGACTCCTTTATTAAAACTTGTGCCAGTCATAGTGCTGCTTCAGCAACCATGGATGAGGCATGAGGGAAACTGAACAAAATTGAAGCCATAACAAGGAAATCATGCTCCTATATAGCTCTTTTAAGATGACTTATGGACAATGAAGTGTGGGAAAACAGACATGGATACCTAGGTTGCGTAACAGAAAGTCTCACAGGTTCTACACATATATTTTCTATGCATACATTTGCATATACCTGGAGATGCTTCTTAGACGTTTTTATTTATTTAAAAGTCATCAGAAGGCAAAGACACAGCAAAACTTGCAGGACTGTAAGCCTGCCACAGGAGAATGATAGTTTAAGGAACATTTCCTAGTGTGTGAAAATGGCCAATGCTTTTGCAATGTCAGAAACTTAAGAGAATGAAATCACAGCTTTCATGAAACTTCAATGTCATTCCTCAATTTTGTTGAGAAAGTGGCCATAGGAACAACAGAGGCTATCCAAGCTTATTTGAAGTGCACTATTAATACAGAAAAAAACCCAACTCAACTTCTGGCACTATTTGGATCTCCTTTATTTCCTAGGTATTCTCAACCATTAATAATCTCTGGATTTATACCAGTGTAACAGAACAAAAACTGACATCCAAGAATAAACCAATTAGCAATTACCATTGTTTGCCTTATACCTGCTCACATTCTAAAAGTCTTAACTATGTCAATTCTAGTCCAGCAGTTTTAAAGATTCTAGATAGCCCATCAGGAAAGATAAAAAGTTATATATGGGAAATGCCTCTTTGTAATTCAGGATGGAGGAACAATAATAAAATGCTCAAAAGCTATGACTTAAGACACATGTGGGGACCAGATCAGATAACTTGAGTCAGACCTATACAAAGGGCACTGCTGAAAAAACAATGATGTGAACAGCAGGCCTTATCAGTTTTTTTAAAAAAGTCAGAGTAGGTTTCATACGTCAAGGTGTTAAGAGGGCAAAAATAGCCCAAACTGAATAGTTTTAGCAAGCAGTGCATTCTATTCAGTGATATTAAATTATATTCTCTTTATGTGGCCTATTGCTGTAGTCATTCATATTTCTAGCCTGTGGAAATAATGATTTGCTCGTTATTAATAATCAGTTGCAAAATCACACACAAGATTCTTAAAGCTGTGCCCAATGGGCCATACCCAACTGCCAAGTGAAGTCAGCATTACTGACATGAATTAATTTGTGATCTCCTGTTCTATATACAACTTGCTAGTTGTATAACTTGCTACAGTATTTTCAAGTTAGTACTCTTGTAGCTTTATATACGGGCAAACCCAAAAGAACATCCTGAGACAGTGTTATTAAAAAAGGACTTATGTGTATGTGAAATATGACCAGAAGTTTAAAACCATCAAACATTAGAACTATTTGTTGTACATTTTGTTCATTACGATGGTGCAGTACCACTCAACAGTGAATAGCTGCAGACATGATCAAGATTAAATTGTGCCAAAGTTCTAAGGAGTCCTTTCAGGGAAAGCAAGAAACCCAAGGGGAAAAAAAAACATGGTGAGATAATGGTTTTACTTGAAGTGATGGAAATGGAAATACCAGCAGGAAACAAAATTGTCTACAGAACTGAGACTAACTTTCCAAAATCTCATATTTTATTATCCAGCTCTCAAATTTATGCCGGCTCCCTTCAGAACCAGAAGTGGATTCAACAAAGAAGAGATTCAAATAAATGACACAGTCTCTCTCTCTCTCTCTCTCTCTCTCTCTCACACACACACACACACACACACAATACTAGACAAGTCTGTACTAGAATCCTGGCTTCAATATGCAAGGTGGAAGTGTGATGGTAGCACATCCAATGTTTTATGGCTAGTGGGCTTCCAAATTAGGTGCCAATGAGAAAAGCCCCTCTGGCATTTGGTGGGCATAGATCATTTGTTTGAGGAACTGAATACTGTAATAGTATCCAACACAGATGGACAGGTTTTTTTCATTGACTTTTTGGCTTAGTTCTCACTGAGGTTAAAAGACGGTGTCTTTGCTGTACCGCTTCAGACAATTCATCTGTTTAAAAGCTCTGACACATTTTTAAAAAACAAAACAATCCATGTCAAGAATTCTTCTACCCAATAACTGGTTTCCTATACAGAGGGAATCTGCTGTTGTACATGGGAATACTCTGCCACATCAACTTGGATGTTTCCTGCAGTCTGAAATGATGCAGTTCAGAGACAGATATTTTACTTTAGGGAAAACTAGGCCTTTAATGATCCTCCAAGGATACACACCTTAATACTGTTACATGAAAGTTGAAGGCAGCACTAACTGTCAGTAATGGAGAGCAAGGGCAACGGAGTTTGGAGATAGATGCCCTGTTCCGGAACAAAACTTAATTTTGCATAGGCAGGATTGTCCATTCATTAAAATGACTGAGGTCTATTACTTCAACCCTAGGCCTTATTTAGGTGCTACTGAAGGGTGTGTGCTGTACTCTACATGCAGGGAGATGAGCACACTTGTCTCACTCTCTCCGTTGTCACCTTATTCACAGAAAAACAACTGTGTCTTAAGAGGAAAACCTGTTCCATCCACGGCAGCTCGTTGCATAAGAAAGAACACAGGAAAAAAAACCCACAGGATTTTATCTCACATGGACAGTATCCATGGATAATGCGGGCTCTCTTCTTTAGACATAGGAGGAAAACAATGAATAAAACGGGTGGGGCTAATACATTCACCTCCTTGCATGTGGACCATACAGACTTCACAATATTATCTAAATCAAGCATGAGGAGGCAATGTCCTGCCAATGTAATCAAAGGTCTCAAAAAGACTGAAAATGCTCAATATAATGGTAATGTCAGCCACTGATACTGCCATGGCTGCTCCAGATGCAGAGCACAATGCCGATTCATATACAACAGAATCATGGTATAGCTTTTCTTGAATTGTATCAATGAGAACGTGAGGGTGATGACAGCATTACTGCTTGAATATTCAGTGGGAGGGAATTAGCAACCACTAGTTATCATACCAGAGACTCGTTCAGACCAACAATCCAACTTTTCCAGTTTCTGAAGCTCAAAAGGAGTATATTAGAAAACCTTAATCCTTAGATTGTACCACATGTGTGTATTTTAGTTCTCATCCCTCTATTACTGGAACAACAACTCAATTTACAGCGGGCAGTTATATATTCATTAACCCTGAGCAACATTCTCCTTTTTTGTGTCTCTCCATTGAAATGGGTCAAGATGAACAAACCCAACAGTGAGACACAGGTTTTGGTTTAAACAGAGACAGTAAGTATATTTCTAAAGATAGTATCTTCCCACAAGTGAAGATGGTTGCTGTTCAAATGACTGTACATTACCAGGAAACATCACTTTAATACTGGAGTAATAAGATACATCCTGGACATCTCAGTACCAGCTGCAGATGCCCAACACATGAAAAAACCAGACTGAGCTCACATGAATTTAGATGGTAGCATCTCTGAAGAGATCAAACTGATAAAGTAGCTGCCTGAATGGAAACTGAAAGAAAAGGAAGGCTAAGGGGGAAGACAATAGCACTGGATTGTAATTGCTAAGTTTTGGAGTTGCTTGGAGAGCAATGTGACACAATACAACAGTACACAGATGATGCAGTTGTAATTCAAAGAATAATCTCACTGCATGCATAGAGTTGACCTTCTATACACTGCACAGAGTGATGCCAGGAAATTCCAGAATATACCATTTCAGATGTCAGGTGAGTATGTGCAAGACTTTCTTCTAATACTGCCCCATGTTATTAAGTCCTATCCTGTATTTATTAAACTAATACATCTGGAAGAAGACCATGCTTAGACTTGCTTTGTGATACACTGTTCAGGACATTTAGGAACATTTTCTGTGCAGGAGAGTAGGAAAAACATAAGAGCAATAACTGCAGCCTGAAATGATATAGTCTAGAATTCTAGCCCTTCCAACTATATAATTTGTAGACTGACTCTCAGTACCTCAAGATGCTCTAATGAATCGGGTTCCAAGCTTCACAGAGACACATGTTACCTGGAGACTGTCTTAAAAACACATAAGGTTCTTAGTCATTGTGCAAGATAAGGAGAAGTGGTTAGGGCAGTAACACATTTGGAAATTAAGCGGGGGGGGATTACAATTGCTAAAAACAAAGCGAAAAATCCCAGTCATGGACTACAACAGCTGAAAAGGTAACAGGCAAAATGATCTGTAAAAAGAAACATGTGGAGGCAGGAGCTGATTCAGAAAAGACCCATGGAATGGAAGCTCTCTAGGCTCCATACTGTACCCTTGGATAAGCACACAACAAACTAAAAGCAACAACCCATGATTCTGATCTGCCTTCATTAGACGTATACACAACACCTGTAAACTTTGGTTTAAATAATAACTTAAAATCAAAAGAAAGTGACAAAAGGGCTAAAGGGATGCAGGATCTTTGTTAATTTCTCTCTTTTTTTGGCCAGTTTGAATAAATCAGAATAAAAGCACCCAACAAAAATTAAAGACTGTTTTGGTTCATGCTTCTTGTCTAAGAAAGGTCTTTGGTCAAGGGTTAAGCCAATTGTAAAGCATTCTGGAGAGAGCACAAGGGAGACATTTAAATAGGAGCTCAAGAGGGAAAGTGAGGTGTGGTGTGCTTTTGATCAAACATTTTTCCAAACTGTTTCTGACATTGAGCAGAGTCCTGAGGGATAGTTGGAGGGTTTTGAGGTATTCTCAGCTCCTACAGACCTATCTTGGCTTTGTGGGCTTTCACAGCAAGCCACTTACTGGCAATGGATAGTTTATCTGGGGATGTTCTTAAAATCTTATAATAGTCTGATCTACATTTCTTAAATATGATCACTTCTGATTTACTATAGCTTAGAGATCATTCTTTGTCCCTAAAATGATGGAGTACACCCCCCTTCAAATCACAGCCACTCCCTCAATTCACTTAGGTAATCTTTTCCAATTGTGCTCGGCCAGTTGGAGAAACTGGGAAGCTAAACTGAGGAGATCCATGTTCAATGGAACCCTCTAGTGTAGGCTCTGGAAACCATGCTACAGCCATTTTCAGAGAGAGAATTGTGGCAATCTTTTATTATGGCAGCCATGATTCAGAAAGGTATTTTTCATTCCCACCACCTTCATGTCTGTCTAGATCTGAAACAATGTGGGGCCCCTTACGTGCATAATTTAGGAAGGAGAAAGGAATTAGAAAACTATTACTTGTATTATATGGACAGTACCATCACTTGGATAGGACAGTCTCTCAAGGTTTACAAAAGGCAGGGTAATGGCAATATGCACCCACTGTGACTTGAGCGATAAGGCTCCTCTTCCATCAGGAAAATCATCTGCAAAACACAGAAGTTGGGAGGTGGGGAGAACTGGCTCATAAGGTGGATAGAAATCATAGTGCATAGTGTACTAGAATTTAAGAAATAGAAATATGAAGTTTGATAGTATGATTTCAACAAGGATATTTCTACAAGATATTTCAATTGGAAAAACTTAGCAGGCGTGAGAGAATTTTGCCAAGTGGCCTTTAGGGCTATAACAGATGATACCACCACAATTTAGAGAGAGAGAGAGAGAGAGAGAGAGAGAGAGAGAGAGAGAATAAATGTGATTTTGACAATATGATTTGATCCCCATCTTCAATTCACCTGCAAAACAGCTGTTAGGGCTATACAGAAACAATGTGCCAGTCTTTATCTTTTGAGATAAAGAATTGTTTTTAAAAAGCACAGATAGTGCCAGGTGATTAACTATAACTTCTGAGCCAAGTCTGGAAATTTGGAGAGGAGGGGTATTACCATGATTTGTCAGTTGATGAAAAATGGGCATAGGTTTTAATACACTTGAATGCACTGTATTAGAAATCAATGAAATAATTGTGTCCATAGAGGGACAAGACTACCTTCTGAGCAGGTTAATTCTCTAGCCCAAAGGCTCTATACCTCACCTTATCCAATACTTTCAACAACATTGCACTTGGAACAGTGAAAAACAATTCCATAAGTATGAAATACAGAAAGGAATCCTAAGAAAAGTTAGTCAGAAATATGGGGAGATCATGTCTCTTGGGCTCATGGTATGATGAGGATGTTGGCAAACACGTGTTCAAAGTTGCACTGTTCAAGTTTATTCTCCTAAGATATAAAATGTTGAAATACAGAAGTAGTTGTGCTGGTCTGGGAGTTATCCAAGTTACCAAGGATTATCTTGTCTCTCCCACTCCCCTCCACCCATGCTGTTAACATTGTGGGAGGAACCCGAAGTCCCATTTAGAACCTGAAAACAAGCTACAAAGTGTACTGGCGGTGGTGGCGGCGGCAGCGCAGGGGGGGGGAACATGACTCTCATTTAGAAACAGACTCCTCAGAAGCATAGCATCCATCTTCCTTGACTTACTGCATCCATAGTTCCCAGATGAGCAAACAGCTTCTCTCGCCAGCACAGACAATGTCCCAAGTCACCAGGAGGGAGCCTTTTGGGCTGTCCTCTCATGGAGGCAGAGGCAAGGACCTTTGGAAACATATTTTCTGTTACGGGAAAAGCCCCTTGGATAATATTTTTTCTTTCCTCTGATGTAAGGCAACAAAGACAATGAACTGGCAAAAATCAAAGGATAGTGGCAGGATTTTTGGTAAATTGTTTGTTCACCTGAACGATGTACTTAATTTCTTTCCTATCAAAGCATTTTGGAAGCTTCTTGTTCCCTCTCCAAATTAGCCTGCATCTAGAAACTAATAATTAGCACACCAGCTGTGGAATAAGATAATAGTTCCACCAGAGAAGTCAAAGACAAGAGGGAGGTGAATTCTTCATCCTAGCTTTACTGGGTTTGGTCACAATGGAAAAGTATGTTGACCTTTGGTCACAATGGAAAAGCATGTTGACTTTACATATATATGCAAACTCAAAGATATATATATATCTTTGAGTTTGCATGGTCAACTAGGTCTTTGTTTTCTGCTGCCACATAAATTAGCCTATTCCCTCTTTCCCCATACCATCTCAAACCAAGTGCTTTCGATTTGCTGGGCCTGCCAAAACAGCTCTACCCCTGTCTACTAGGCCATCTCATTTATCCCACTCCGCAACCTCACATAAACAGCCAATACTTTCCAGCCTTATTAGCAAAATCAGAATTTTGGGCCTCATCCTCAGTGTTTGATAAAATGGAAAATACTAAAATGAAAGAGGTGCAAACAAAAAGATAATCTCGCAGAAGTTAAAGTCGTTCCCTGAATTCAGTCTCATTCCGGGTACCATCAATTATCTCTCCAACTGCCCAGACCTTGGCTTCCGGGGAAAAAAAATTCACAGTATGTCATGTCGTGGAATAGATGCTAATCCCTGGGTTTCGTGACGAAAAATGCTTTGTGAAGTGAAAAATGGCTGTCAAGAATGACTGATTAAAGAACACTGCTTCTTGAACTTGCAGGGGCAGAAACACAGGTTGGAGAAAGACTAACCAAGTGGTTTTATGTCTAGCAGTGAGAAAACCTTTGGCTACTTGTGGACCTACACTTTGCTTGTTACACCCAGTTTGTTTTCATTTCTTTCTCAGTGAGAAAAGAAACAGAAATTGGGACACTGGGGCCACTTTAGGGTTCTTGGTTCCAACAGTTGTTCCAGTACACAGAGGTGAATGTGTGTGAGCGCATGAGTGTCTATGTGTGTATACACATGTGTGAAAAAATCCTCCTAGTGCAAAGTTCTCAGTGGAATTAACTGGCAGGTTATTGGGAATGCTTTCCATAAGGAAGTAGGAAACATTCACAGAAGCCCATGGCTTGACTGCTACCCCCTCTGCTGGGCTGGATGCTTCCAAAATCTTGATTTGTGGAAACAACACAGTATGAGCTGAAAATAACAAAACACAGAGCAGACAATACAAGACACCTTCTTTTTATCCCCATGAGGGTAGGGCAATGGAGGAGGGGGGAGGCAACAAAGAAGTCTTCGGACAGAAACAACCTACCATCCTCGTTCACCAATTACAAAAATTAAAAAAAAATTAAAGAACTCAACTCTGGTTTTTGTTTCTTTGCACATCCCTCTCCACGAATGTCTATTAAGAGTCACTGGGATGTAAGGCGGGGAAAGAAGGGTGTGCCTTCAGCAGCGGGTAGACCCAAGGAAACCCTTTTGCTTTGAAGAAGTGCCTTAAACAAGATAACGCTGAAGGTCACCTTGAGGAGGTGGGAGCCATTGTTTTGTCTCTGGGGAAGTGCTGGCCCATAGGTAAGGAAGAAGGGCCCTTAAGACAATTCTTCCACTGGCAGCTCCTCCTCCAGGTCTCTGTCATCAGGAATCGTCACATTCTGATTAGTTGTTGCCATGAGAGAAACAGGTCTGTTGTCATCTTCTGTTTCAACTGGTTCTTCCTTCACATGGACTTGGTGGCTGAAGAATGGAAAGGAGAAGAAAGTAAAATGAAAACAGTGCTTTGCTAAGGAAAACGGCTACCCAAGAGACAAAATGAGCTCTCTGCCTAAAAGAAGAAGCATGACCTGAGTATTTGGCCAGTAGAACAGTATTCTTCTGAAATTCTTCAAGGTATCAAAAATTCAAGTCTAACTATGTTACAATTGGAACAGAAATCTTTAGCATTAATGTCAGCTAGGTGACGTTGGGATTGTTCCACAGGAATTTTACTTCTCAGTCTATGCTCTCACAGCAAACTTTTCCAATGGCCAAAATCCCATGATGTTGAGAGAATTTATTTCTCTGAATGAACAAATTTTTGGAGACTGTTAACTGAAACATCTTGCCGGTACAAACAACCCCACTATGCCTTGCCCAAATGTTCTTTGGTGGCCTGTAAGAAGTGAGTATGCAAGAACATGTATCCCAATGAAATCACATCCAGTGAGCATTAAAACTTACTATGGCCGTATCTATTCAGGCTCTTATCCTACTGTGATGCCATACACACATGGCATAACAAAAATTGTTTATCCATATTGCCAAAGTACACAAAGGTTCAACTCTCATGTGAGAACAAAAAACGATTACCCTCAATTGCTAATATAGCATTGTCTACCAGCCATTTCTAAGACTCCCATTTAACACACTGGGATCATGTTTACTCATTAACATTAGAGGAAGGCCAAACTCATGGTGCAGATTTATTTTGACCCTGAATGTGCTCATCAAACACCCAAGGTGGCATGGTCTAATCTATTAGCATATCTTTGGTTTCCAGAGACTGCTGGACTGGATCAGTCTTCTACTAGGAATATCACAACTTGTCATAATTATCAGAAACGTAATTTATTCTCACATGAACTCAAGGCTTACCTATACTGCTGGGGTGAAAGCCTGGGGCTATTGCTGCCATTGCTGTTGACTTGTTCCACAGTGCTGCTCACATCATCATGGCCAACATGTAGCATGCCACTAGTGGAGCTTGTGTTAATCATAGTGGGACTGTTCAGAAGTGGGAAGTTACTCTCAGCCAGGGCTGCCTAAAATCAGCATGCAGTAAGAAAAAGTATGGATGCTCAAAGGAAAAAGTCATGACAGATTTGCAAGACAACACGGTTACATAGGTACCGAGAAATACACACGTTCATTCTGATGAAGCACTTAAAGCACCTCTAACTATTTTGTCTTCTTGAAGAATTCAGTGATTTAGGAAGATTACAATTTACAACTTACTAAGAATATTTATACCCTACCGTTCTAGCTCAACCAATGCAGCTTACAATTAAAAATCTGATACAATAAACTTTTGAAATGTACTTTTGAAAATCTCATCAAAAGACAATATTGATGTTGTTTTTGTATCAGAGTACTAAGATTCAGTCTCTGGTGTGTTTCAGGCAGGTGTCAGAACAGTGAGATTTCCATGAGAGTCCGTAATGTTGGCTTTTAATCTCAATATATGTTCATTTTTAATATATTTATATAATATTTTAAAACTTTTTTTGTTGTTTTAAAGATTATAGTTTTAGTTGTTTTGAGTTGTCTTGGGGCCCCTATGGGGAGAACAGCAACAAATAAAATAAATAATAATAAATAAATCTGCATTCCCAGATTATTACAGGAGTTGGGACTAGTAAAGCTAATTTGGTGCAATTTGTGGGAAACCACTGCTGAATATTTTGTGCTGAAATTTCAATACTAGCTACCAAATGTTTTCGAATGCCAAACAACAAATTTTAAATATTTATCCCATCCGAGAAACCAAAACATCAAACTGAAGAAGTTGTTATAACAGACAGTTTCTATATTCAGAGTTGTCTTCTGCAACCCTTTGAGGAGCTAGTGGGGCGGGTTTTCCTTGGTAGGTATAAATTTGTAGGCATAGCTTTCTCCTAATAAGGGTGGCTCTCCCAAATGGAAATACTTTGGCTTTTAAAACTTGTTGATTAGGAGAGTCTTACCTGGTAGCTCGCATTAAGTGCTCCATAACTAAGGCCAGAAATCATGTTTTTGACTAAAGTTGGACTCCTGCAGATTAAAAAAAAAAACAGTTGTTAGCATTTTTTTTTATCCAAGTCCAAGATGAGATAACAGTGGCAGCATGGAAGAAAGAGTAGATGCCAAAATCTTTGCTGACATTCATGATTAATCTTTTTCCAGTGTGTGAAAATATACCCTACTACTACCTGAATATTGAAATCCTTCCCCTGATCCGTTACTTCTTCAACTTCTAAATCAGGGATGAAAGATGTGTGGCCCTCTAGCAGTGTTGCAGTCTACGCTCCATCAGCCCCAACCAACATGGCTAATGGTCAAATATGATGAAAGTTATAGACCAGCAGGACTGGAAGGCCAGACTCCCTACCTGTACTTCAGTTATTACAAATCACATACAATATGGCCAAACTTCTGTTGCTTGGTACAGTAAGTTACACTAAAGTAGGTCCACTGAATTAATGGAGATACAATAACTCAGCTCCTCCATAAGTTCCATTGATTCAAATGTGCCTCCTCTAACTGTGACGTGCCTGAACACAGTAAGTTGCAGTTAAGAGTGGGCCCATTTAAATCAATGGAACCTATGGAGGAACTGATTTATTATATCTCCATTAATTCAATGGACCTACTCTAGTGCAATTAACAATACAAAACTATGGGATTTTGGTCAATAAATGTGCTAGGCTGAGCTGTAATTTATCTGTTTACCAGACTGTTTGTAGAACAGGATATTTAATACTGTATGCAAGTATGCATTCAGAAAGAGATGATGCTAGGGATGGAAAGGGAAGATTTTTTTTAATCAGAATTTTTATGTGAACAAACCTAATGTATACTTCCTGGCCACACACATAAAATCAATATAGTGTACACATTCCCAAATGTTTCACTGTCATTCTGGGCTCAAAATTTTAATATAAAAATTTGCATATTAGGGAAAACTGTGAATATAAATTTAAGATATACAGTATATCAGGGAAAGTGGTGTATAAACATTTTTAAAAGGAAATTTTCCCTTCTCTCTCTCTCTCTTAACTCAATCTGTGTACATAAAGCACTGAGTATATTAAGCAATAAAAGTGGTATGTAAAAATACACACCATTTGGTTTGTATCAAATTTAGAGTAAGAGTGACTGGGAGTTACAAAGGCCAATAATACTCACAGAGCACCAGCAATGATGCCCTGTTGTATGTGAAGCTTCCTGGTTAGTAGTGGCTAATGAATGATTTCAGCTTTGGAAGTGGTTTTCTGTGTACATTCAATATCACAAGACTTACTGCTGTGATGTCTGTAAGAGCTAGTTAGCTTAGCAGCCACATAACAGCTCCAACAGGTCCCTCACTCCAAAAGGAACTGTGACAGAAGATAGAATGAACTGTTGCTTCAACACATGCACTGAAAAAGGGGTAGGCACTGGTTGAAAGATGAATCAATGTTTGCAATTCAGAATTCTAAATGTACATTTGTGTTTTAGTGAAGACACACCACTGACTAAACTTCCTAGCTCACTATGTTAAAGTGCACATCAAGAAATCAGAATAGAAAACAGAGACAGTAATAAAACCAGCAGAAGTAAGAATGTGACTTTGAAAAGTCTGAAGTGTATAGGGACATTGCCCCTAGAAATATGTGATCAAATGGGCCTCTCAGCTACTTTTTAACCTACCTCTAGGATAACAGATGGGAACTATGTGTCAGTTATTTAAAGAGGACTATTTCCTTCTTCACAAACTACCCAAGCTCTTTTCAGAATTTGTATTTCCTAGAAATATCTGGCAGATTACAGCTGGCAACAGAATGATAGATTGGATGAACCCTAGGTGTACTCTAGTAGAACTCTTGTTCTATCAGGTTTGAGTCTACATGGGAAAGATGCTGGTGTAAGATTTGCTGCTGCTCGCCCCCACTCTCCACTCTCATTTGAGAGGACCTACAGCCCCCTATACTGAATTGTAGCACTCATCTTCACAAGGAGGTTGTGTCGGACATACCCTGTCATCTTTGGTGGCCTTCTCTTTTGGTACTCAAGTTCATCTACAGTCCAGACAGCTCCCTTAACATTCTCCACTCGCACAAAGCATTTGTGCAGGCTCAGGTTGTGGCGCACAGCATTCTGCAGGTGGGACAAAAGGAAGAAAATAGTGCCATCAAAATGGGTGAAAGTTTACCTCCACTTTCCGCAGAACTCTCCTTTCTCAGTAGCCATTAGTCTTACAACCTCCTACAGAGCTGTTACTGATATCTTTACAATCTGCACCTCAGTATGACAACTGGCAAGGTGATGATTTCAGCCTACTGTATGCTGAAGTAAGCATGTTGATTGCAATAGCTTCATTTTGATACTGTACAAGAACTATAAATGCTTATATGATATTATTCAGTTATATATATATCGGCCTCCAGCATCATCCACTGCCTACATCTGCTGTACACTGCATGTTCTTAATCAGTCCCAGTCATCAAGTCTATTTAGGATACTGCACACGTCCATGGAGTATCCTAAAGAAATGTGGTAGGTGAGATCCATTGTCTGCCAGTGTCAGCAGCAAGGAAAGCTGTAGGCACAACAGGGATGAGAGGGTAATAAGAGTCCCTCTCATGGGCAATCAGCAGGATCAACAAGCATTAGCTGCAGCTGGGGAAGGCTGCTGCTTGGAGATACAGAAGAAAAAGGCTATCAACTGACATTCCAGCAGTGCATGTAATGTAGAATGCATCAATCCAGTTACATGTGAAAATCAGGAAGAGCCCCTCAGAAGGGAGACTCTTCCATCTCAGGCTCTGGAAAATTTTCACATCCATCCAAGAACCAATCTGTGAGCATTTGCCTTTTTCTCATTTTCTATGGATGCCAACTGAGAATGGTTTCTGGGATTTCCACTAGGCAACCTACGTAATCTCTCATTACTGGCTAAGTACAGAGAGAGAAAAAAAGAGAAAGGAAGCAAATGGAATATTGCAATGGGCAGTGCTTTCTCAATACAACCTTCTGCTTGGAAGGCTTCTGATTCCCCACCCCCCAAAAATCTGGCAGGCCATCCTTCCTTTTTATTCTGTATTGCCCATCTTTACATTTCTAAATGTAAAATAAAGAAAACGCACGTACACAGGCAGTGTTGCCCCGAGAGATACTAGCCCCCTTTCCCCCCTTCTAGCTCCCTGCCATTTGCTACTGCCCCTATTTCATTACCAATTTTAATTTGCCTCTAATTAAATCCTGTGTATTTTTCCGACTCACTTGCTAATCCATGAGGGAGGCAGGAGGCTGGAGTGGAATCTCTCCGAGCTATAATTACAAAGGGCCTAATCACGTCGGGGCTCTGCCTTTGAATAAATTTCCTTGCATTAAGGTTCTCAGATTCTCTGCCTTGCAAATGAGAATGACCCCAATTTCAGGATGTTGGCCTCGGAGGGTTTTTTTTTTATTTCGAGTCCTGATTCGTGATGAGAGACTAATTCGTTACGCTAAAACATTAACAGCAATTTAAAAGGTCGAACGGGGGCCGTATAAACAAAAGAGCTGGCCAAGACAACAAGGCAAAAAAGGAGAGATGGGGAATAACCCCCACACACCACAGACAGTCTTACAGTTCCTGGTAACCAAATGAATCAGGCTTTTTCTTCCAATTTTGGTTACAGTTACAAGCCCTCCAATTCCTCTCCAGTTCCTTTCTGTTATTCACTCAACAGAAAATCGCGATGATACAATTTTCCTTCTTTAGTGGACATTCTCCAAACATGGAAGGAGAGGACTCTCTTTTCACTTTTGTTATAAAAGCTAGGTACTGTTCACAGACCACTAGCATTGTGCTGCCCTTACGTTTACCAGTGGAAGATTATTTTTTAAACTTTAAATGCCATATTAACATTAAAACTAAGCATCTTACACTGAGGAATAAAAACCAATCATTGCATCCTAGTTATTCTTGCCGTTGCTGCCTTCCTTTCAAAGAGCTAAGGACTACAGCTATAGCTCCTGAGCACTTGCATACCACACCTGCTGACTGTGCCTAAACTTCACAACAGTTTCAGAAAACCAGTCAAAGTTTGGTTATCATAAGACATACGTACAAAAGCAAACAAACAGCAGCTTGAAGAAATGCCTTGCACAATTGCTTTGTTATTGTCAATACAGAGTAAGAACAGTGTTTTGGGTTTGTTCTTGTGTTTTGCAATACATTTTGGTGATATATTAATTACTGTACTCTTTAACCCCTTCTTTTCTGTAGCATTGACACTACTGCAGCGGAAAATGCAGATAAGCTTCAAGACTTTGTGATGGATCATGTCTGAGCAGACAATCTGCCTTGGGACTTGAGACACAAGTCATGAGAGAAAGCGAGAGGAGGAGGATGCAAGAAGAATGCTTAAGCCTAAATGACTGGCCAAAGGGAGTATCAGATAAGAAGTGGCTCTCTCTTGTATGTAGAGAGACAGAATGGTGAAATCAAAACAAGTTTATTTATTTATTTAACTTATATGCCGCCCACACTACCCGAAGGTCTTTGGGTGGCTTACAACATTTAAAATACAATAAAAAGGCAAAATAAAAAGGCAAAATAATTAAAATGCAATAAAAAATAAATACTCTAAAAATTGCCATCAGACCCACAGCTGATATTATTTTAATTAAAAGCCTTCTGGAACAGGAAGGTTTTGACCTGGCGCCAAAATGTCATCAGCGTTGGCGCCAGACGAATCTCAGTTGGGAGGGCAATTCCATAGTCTGGGGGCAGCTGCCAAAAAGGCCCTTTCTCTACAAGCCCTCCCTCTTATCTCCTTGAGGGATGGCTCTTTCAAAAGGGCCCCCTGGCTAGATCTTAACTGCCGGGTAGGTTCATATGGAAGGAGGCGGTCCTTCAGGTATCCAGGGCCCAAGCTGTTTAGGGCTTTATATGTCAAAACAAGCACTTTGATTTGGGCTCGGGCAGCAACTGGTAGCCAATGTAACTTAAACAGAATCGGCTTGATATGTTCCCTAGCGGCTCCACCACTCACCAGCTGTGCAGCTCGATTCTGGACCAGCTGCAGTCGCTGGACCATCTTCAAAGGCAGCCCCACGTAGAGCGCATTGCAGTAATCTATGCGAGATGTTACCAGTGCATGTGTAACTGTCATGAGACTCCGCTCGTCCAGGTAGGGCCGTAGCTGGTATAGTTTCCGCCGCTGAAGGAAGGCACCTCTGGCCACCGAGTCCACCTGGGCTTCCAGTGTTAGACTGGGGTCCAGGAGCACCCCCAAGCTGTGGACCCTGCCCCTTAGGGGGAGTGTAACCCCATTCAGGGCAGGGAAATGGCCCTCCAACCTGTCCTGCGAAGGACCCACTAACAGCACTTCCGTCCTGTCTGGATTGATTTTCAATTTTATTAACCCTCATCCAGTCCATTATCAGGTCCAGACACGAGTTCAGCACAGAAACCGCCTCACCTGGATTGGTGGAAAAAATTTCAGGCTCTTTCTCCTTCAGCCTCATGTTTTACTTTTTATACAGCATCCGTAGAACAGGATTGGTTACTATTAGAAACATCACATCTGATTCCAGCAAAAAATGATGGTCTTCTGAACTGAAACCATTTAAATGCCTTACCACACTCTAGCACTGAAACTATTAGAACAACAGGTAGTTCAGATACTTACAATGTGGAAAATTCAACTTCTGTGCTTTACCAATGCAGCTGTGTAACAGCAGGATAGATTATGTGATCAGACAATGCTGTATACAAATGTATATAGGCATAAGTATAGTCTCTACCTCCAAATTCAGGCTTGCTTAACACCAATGTGATATTTTATGGGAAGGAGAAGAAATGTGTGGCCCTCCAAACAGTGGCAATTCCTGCTTTTCCTCCCCATTGGCTATGCTAGGAGTGGTGGGAATTGTTGTCCATTAACATCTGAAGGACTACATGTTCCCATTTTTGTTTTATGGCAACTGCCAACTATCCATGCCTGGTAGGGGGCTACTATCCTGCTATACACAAAAGGCAGGAAAGGAAGCTGAATCCTAGACATTAAGGCTTTTCTGCAGGTCACTATGCATCTGTCATGGTATTTACAGATATTTCCTGAAAATTATCATGAATTTTCATTTGAAATACAAGAATACAGTAATTCCATACACCATTCCATGGAGAAAAATATTGGCTGGGATCCTGTTGTATAGCTATGCAGGTGCAACTCAACATTATGCTCATGGTAGCTACAATAGTACCAAGGAGGAAGTGGTATCCATAAAGCACTTTTCCTGGCATGCTGAGCGATCAGCTAAACCAGAACTGTGCGGTCAATTGCACAAACTGCACAATCTGCTTTGCCTGGCATAACACCCAGCAATGTTACAGAGGCATAACTTTACCTCACACCATAATGAACTGGATTCTTAAGACACCTCAGCCTTCTGGAGGAACCTAAGCTTTGTGGCACCTGGAGTCCAGAATTCCTTGCTCTTGTGGGTGGTAGCAGCAAAGGATACTGTGAAGCATATATTTCCTTGTGTTTCTGTTCTGTGGTGCTCCGCGCCATGGAGGTCTTTCTGCATGATTTTAATACAGGCTTTATATTTTACAGAATATTTGTTTAATGCCAGGCTTGGCAGCTCTGTTTGCTTCTTATCTTTGTCTTTTCTAATGATGTTTGCTTTATGGCCCTGGCCCAGCCTCTTTCCTAGCTCCTACCCTAATGATTGAGCATCATTCTTAGCTCCCCACTACGGGTGCTGCTGCTGTCATATGAATGAAATCCTCCTTCTGCCTTTTTACTGGCACTTCTTGCTTTACCTCTTGGCACCTGTTTACTTTGCACTCATCCAGCTCCTGCTATCCAAGTACCTTAAGTGCTCTTTATGGATAGCTAAAGATTAAACCATTATTTTAAAAAGTAAAGAAAAAAGAAAATGTTCGCTTTGTGAGAGAATAACAATAATATACACTTTCATTACAACATGTTTGGCTCTGAGATTTCTGTTCCTTTCCTTTTCTAATAAGATTTTTAAAAAAATTTGGTCAATAAAAAGAAAATCACATCTGAATTTTCCTATAGATTACTGAAGAAGCATTTTGAAAGAAAACTAAACTGAAATGAAATTCAAAATCATTTAAAAATGAACGCTTTAGC